TATAGCTGACCTGGTGGTTGGTCTCTGCACTGGACAGGTAACACATGCAACAGTCTGACAGCTCATATCCCTCTGCTAGCTTAACTGCTTATTACTGATCACGTTTCATGCTCTAAGTTTTCCTTGGGTCCCGGTGCATAAGCAACATAACAGCAACATAACAGTGCAGCATCACACTTTGGGACCATACAAAGCAGCAATAATCAGAATCAGCATCAGCATACTTTATTAATCCCTAAGGAAATTATGTATGATTATTGTAATTATGTATAATAATATGTATTATACATGATAAAGCAGTGCAAATAAGAGCATGAGCTAATAAACAGATGTGGAAATGAAGCAGCTCAATATTCATTAACTTTTTACTGTACTTCTAAAAACAAAACAACTGAAGTCCTGAAATTAATAAGTTAACTAATCAGTGCATTGATAACAACAGTGAAATATCAATACAGTCAATTCAGTTTAGTTCAAGGTGCTTTATATTGGAAGGTAAAGACCCTAAATTGTTAGAAAGAAACCTTAACAGTCAGCCAGCCCACTTGGCAACAGTGGGAAGAAAGAACTCCCTGGCAGAACCAGGCTCAGGGTAGAGGCAGCCAACCACCGTTCCCAGTTGGGTGTGAGAGGGAAAAGAAGAGAGCAGAGACGGGACGAAACGCAAACTTTAGGAGATAAACATACAAAACATTTGGTCATAAGATCTTCATAATGCTAATAATTTGCAGCTTGTTTTTCTCAACACTTTTGTCTAAAAATATAATTTTAAGAATAGTAGTCAGAATTTGTAACATTATACACAGAATAATATATGTATTAAATATCAAAATGCCAGTTAGTTATTGCCTCGGTACAGAGTATTAGTACTAAATGTGCAGAACCTGCTTGAGGGGAGTGTAACCCGGTTACGTTGTTCCCTAAATGCTTCATATGCAGGCAGTCTAAAGCTGAAAACAAGTAATAATCAAATTGTGAGGACTGCAGATCGAAACAACTTTATCCTCAGCACTGCACTTACTGGAGACTCCAGCAGTCCACCTCCCAAGTAGGAAGAGATCAGCTAAACGTTGACAGGCGATCAGACATGTGGAGATTTGTTGAATTAATGATAAAAGTTCAGCCACGTCTGTAGCTGTTAGTGTTTTTTTTCTTCATTCAGATCAAAACTGGAGCTCCCTGTCGATCTGAACGCCTGGCCAAATACAATCAGCTCATGAGGTGGGTATCTGTAGCTTACATTGCATAAATGTATGTACATGGTATGCAAATGGATTCCTGTATAGCGCTTGCACTATTTTGATATTTCTCCTCTTGTCTTCATTCTTTTATCTGTTGTCATCTTCTTTCACATTCACCTTCCTGCTCTGCATTTCACCTCCTCTTCCTCTCAGGATTGAGGAAGAGCTGGGCGATCAGGCTCGCTTTGCTGGACACAACTTCCGCAACCCCAGCGCCATTTAGGGAGTGGGGTGCCAGTGTTCTCAGCAGACAAAATGAGAGAGAACAAAAAAAAAACCCACGCATACATATAAATAGTGTCATATTTCCCTGATTAGTTCTATGTGGTGAGAAGTTTACGTGTATCAGCAAAGCACTAAACACACAAAGATGAACTTAAAAGCATCAAAACGAATTAGTTTTCACATTATAGCTACAATATATCGATCTAACACTTCAGTGAGTGATAGAGATGATTGCCTACAGCCAGCCTCCACGAATCCTAACAAAGCCTGGTGGAGGAAAAAAAAATCTACTGAACTACTGAGTCACACTCCCCTTCACGGGCTTGTTAGTTTCTCTCATTTTCCTGAGCCCCCTGACTCTCTCCTTTTCACTTGCTGCAGAAGTGTTTTGATCTTTTTTGTGCCCTGTTGTTTCCTCCTCTTCCTCCTCCTCCTGTTTAACAGCTTGCTGCAAAGTTGTGTCTGCTACTTTGTCTGTTCAAAGTGAAGCTTAATAAAGAGATGGATATATGTTAACTCTAACCAAAGATCTGGGTGTGTTTGTTTTGAAGAGAAGCCTCACTGTGCTTCTTTTTGAGAGGTAAATATAATCGGTTATGGAGCAAAACTAGAAACCCATGTAGCTCTGAAATATTATCTTACAGGGTTTATGATTATAATTTCAAACCTGTGGTGAAATAAGGGAATCTTTTAGCACAAATGTTTTTTTTCTATAGGGGTTTGTTTGTTTGTTTGTTTCGTGGTCTTTGTGACTGAAACAACTTCTGGATAAGAAGAATGAGTTGTTCATACGTAAAGACTTCCTATAATGGTTTGAATATTTCAAGCCTGTTCCGTGCCTCTTTCATGCAGGTAAAAACACTTTTGCAGGGAAACACCTGTGCATCCTCGATTTTAGCTCCTCCTGCTGCCTCCTCTGTCCTATAGATGCAATTTGGGAATGGATTTCTGGGTCACAGTCAGGAGGACACAGAAGACAAGGAGGCACAAAGTAGTAATGAGAAAAGCCCTGTGCCTTTGTCAGGTCATAGTTGCTGTAATGTTTCCTTTTAGTGACCCTGTGTGTTTTAAGACTTATCTTGTTAGTCTCTTTTTTTCATGCTCTATCCTGCCGTCATTGCGCAGCGTTTGTCTTTTAAGTTAAAGCAACTTTAATTACTTTAATTTAATCTGTGTGTGTTTGGGTCAAAGAGTCTCTCCAGTTTGACAGTTTGGTTTCACAGTTCATGCACAACAACAAAAAATGTTAAAGTTGTGTAGCTGTCTTGACTTCTTTACACATTGCGACTTAAACAGACTTCTGTGATGCACAGAAATTCATTAGAATCGCATCGTTAAATATAACCAGCTGTCAGAGGCAAACACCTGCTGTTTTCGTCAACAGTCTGTGTCATAGCAGATCATTTTGATACTACAGGAAAAGCACAGGTATTATTGGGAATATTTTAAAAGACCCGTTGCCGAGTGAAAAGTGGCTCAAATGTTACATCCACAGGCAGCAGTGCAGCAGCTTTTTTTCATTTTAATATTATTAATCTTTTATACTGCATAAAAAATAGTCTTTAGAAACTGTTTTAAACAATGTTATTGCAGCAAGTATCACAGAAGGTAATGACTTTATATAATCTAATACAAAGAAGTTTATATTAGGAGAAGAGACAGTACACACACAAAGACAGCTATACATATAGTGGATAGATTAATGTAAAGTGGATGTAGGAGTGGAGACAGTTGAAGCGTGGGCTAATAAACGTGTAAATTATGTAAAGTAGTCTATTAATATACCAATCTTTTGATAAAGGTATAATAAATGTGCAGACCACTTAGAAAAAAACATCGTAATAGGAAAACTAAACAACCCCTCCAACACACGGCCCGTAATACCCTAAGATATACATTAGATGTACCAGCTTAACACTTTAATACAGTAGAATTAATATATTTCTCAATGACATATGAAGGAACAATCTCAATAAGCTCTTTTTTTTCTTTTAAGTATACTCAAAAGAAATAAACCAAATAAAATAAAATAAATTGAAATAAATGAGGTTAATAATGAAGTGTGTGGAATTTGAGTTCAACAGGATAAAATGTAAATGAAATACAATAAAACATCATGTAAGCTATTTTAATTATGTTTTAGTTTGTTTACTGAATTTGAGATATTTCACTGAATGAAGCCATTTTATTGTTATATACTCAGCTTTTATTTAATAACAATAATTGTAGTATTACTATGTAACACTTGTTTACATTGTACTATTTTAATTTTTGTTGGATTTTATTTGGATTTTAAATGATTACAATTGGAACTGTATTACAATTAAACTTGTCTACTCCTTTTAGTTTTTACCGTGTTTTGTCGTTTTGTATTTTTTTTATTGATTTATCAATTTATACATTGCTTTATAAATTTAGCCTGCCTATTTCAGTTTTGTTGCAGGTTAGGGAGAAATAAAGCATGTCTTGTCTTAAAAGCGGAATATAATGCAGTAAAGTGGCTTTACAAAGTAAAATAGCAAAAATAAAGCAGAATATTGTAAAATAATCTGCCACATTCATGCAGTTTGAGTGTGTGCACCTTCACTTTATCTAAGTCAATGTGGGTCTTCTATAAGGAACAAAAATAAATTGAAATACAGAACATGTAATTATTAAATTAGTTTAAATTGGTTACATAGCTTCACACCTGGCTCTGACAGCTGCACAGGTGTGACTGCAGGTCAGGTATCAGCTGCACGCGCCGGGCAGCAGAGGGAGCGCGAGCGGGGCTCGGTTCCTGTCTCGCCCCGGTTGCTAGTGATGATGATGAAGGAACGCTGGAGCTGCGCAGGCGCACCGCGCACAGTCTCCGGCCGGGTTTCCATAGTTACCACACAATAGGAGACGGGACAGGGGGCTGAGTGAAGGGGAGAGAGAGGGACGGGAGCGGAGAGGGGAAGAGGAGGAGGAGGTCTGCAGAGCCGCTTGACTGGACACACCGCTGCAAGCTTTCCCCAGACAGACAGGAGCTGCTGGACAGCCTGGCGGACACACAACACGACAGAGATTTAATTGATCGTTTATTAATTGCCTAATTAATTCGCACGAGCCTTCTTTGTTAACTCGCACACACTGACATTAAAATGCCCAGTTTCCTGTTTTCTCTTTAGTCCACCTTCAGCAGAACCTCTGAGAACAAACAGTATTTGTTCTCGTTGTTTTTCTTCTCCTCCTCTTTCTGTTTCACTGCCAGATAAAACCACAGTTATTCACTGCGAGCCTTTCCATACAGTAAAGGTGACTCTGGAGGGACTAGGCAACAGAGACATAGAGACCCTCCCTCTTGATCCCCTCCCTCTTCAGAGTTTTGGCCCTCTCTCTGCGCCTCTCTTCCTCCTTCTCCCTGCCTCACTACTCCCTCCTTCTCCCTCCTCCTTCTCCTTCGCCAGCCTCCCCCTCCCCTCTTCTCTCTCTCTCTCTCTCTCTCTCTCCTTATGCAAATCACGCCCTCTCCTCTCTCCCTTTCTCTCACCCAACGTGCATCCCTCTCTCTGGCTCACCCCTCCGCTGAAAAAATTTGTGACTGTAAGAACAGAAGAGAGGGGCATTAAAAAAAAAGTGCAAGTCGTCTTAGAGGAAGAGGGGGGAGTAGGTAGGGTGGGAGAGGGGTGGGGGGCAAAAGAGAAAAGGGGGCGAAAGGGGGTGGGGAAGAGGCGAGGGTACGCATCAATTTGTACAGTCTTCAGTTGGCACCCCTGTATTTTTCCTACAACGAATAGCAAGAGATTTCCTCTGCATTATTGTTATGATCGGAGCCCGTTGCAATATGAGCCAGCACGAGTCTCTGTTGACAGACGACCGGGCTCTGAGGTGTACGTGTCAGCGTGCAACATAAAACGACAAAACAGGGAGAGAAAGGAAAAGAGAGAGTGAGAGGAGTGGGAGCACGCATCGCTGGATATTATAGGTAAGGAGAAGGAAAATGGATGCTTATACTTGTGTGTTTGGAGCTATTCCTGCTGGCCACGCTTGTGCTCTCCCTCCCATTTTTTCTCCCCTTCTTTGTGCATTAATGATCATCCTGCGTTATGGCTAAATTATGTCCCGGTGAATTAATGTGAACTGAGCGCACGACGCGCACCCACATTCCAGCGAGGAAAAGGGAGAGCCGGTGCGAAATGCCATGATTCGCCATTCCATATCATCTTTCCTTTTTTTTTTTTTTTTTTTTTTTTTAAAAAGGAAGATATGTGGAGCGTCTGGAAACAGCACTGCACAGGCATCCATTCTGACTGGGGAACATGTATGTGCTGCTGAACACGTCTCTTCCCCCCGTCGTGGATGGTCTGTGAAGGCAGACCATAGAGCAGCTTTGGCCGGTCTCCTCTGCATGTGTATCAATAACATTAGCAGCAAGAAAGAAGAAAGAGTCGTTGCAGTGCCCCGCTCGCTGGTGATGTAAGCAGAGCAACTGCATGCTGCTGCTTTGCATCACATGCAGTGGCCAATTTGTTGATAATATACGTGCTGTGTGCATGCATGTGTGTGCATGTGCGTTAGGAGGGGAACTTGTGGTGTAAATGCAGTTGTTTTCCGACCACAACTGAGGACTTGCCAGTGGACCACAGACAGGCCAGTAGCTGCCACCTGTAACTGAGATGCATTGTGTGTGTGTGTGTACAGAAACCCACCAGGCAGGCTCTGAATGCTTCTACTTCAGTGTCATGAACTTCGTTGTGTGTGTGTGAATAAGGGGACTGTACATGCACACAGCACGCACTGCATCGCCTCTAAATATGTGTGGAGAGTGTGTACAGTGATGAAGATTTTACTCATAAAACTGAATCAGTCACTGCAGCATGCACTAATTAATGCATAGCCATGTGTAGTGAGGCTGCTACGGGCTTTACTTGCTTTAAATAAACACACATACAAGCGTATTTACAGACTCCACGCCACAGCTCTGCTAACTACTCTTTTTTTCTTTCTTTTCATCCAGCGGTGTGCACTATTTATATCCTCATTCAATATACATGAGCCATTTTTTCATCATAGTGGTACATGAATGGATGGATTAGTCGGGCCCCTGCGAAGTAGTCTGGCTATGTTGTCGATCAAATGGATAAAAGATCTTGATAGTGTGTGTTTTCCCTAATGGTTGGCTTGGCTGGATAAATAAGCATGTGATTCTGCTGGCCATAACCAGGTCATGTGGGTTAACCACAAGTGTCTGTGGGTTCGGGCTGTTGTTGTGAAGGTGGAAGGAGGGAGGAGGGGGGGTGTGGCCGCATATTCCCAAGATGTTTTGCTGGAGTTCTTCTGCAGACTGCGATCCGAAGTGAAGTCTACCAATCAGCACCTTTTCTGCTCTGCATGTATTATCAGTCAGGGTGGGTTAACCTATTGTGCTGTTAAGGTTTTGGGCTGCTGTGGTGAAAACAAGGGTGCAGAGGCTGTTTTGAGTCCAGTGGAAAGCAGTTGTGCTGATACAGTGTGAAGCATGCTGGGAATTTAAATGTGGTAACTGGGCTTTTGCAGTTGTAAACTCAGATGTTTTCAACAATGTCACAAATTCCTGAACCCTGCGCTCAATGATGATACCAAATCTTGCCATCATTTCATGAACTCATGTTACTCAAAGCCTTGTGTTCTCATTAGGTTTTCCATGTTTTTGTTTATGCTTCTTCACAGGTTTTGGTAGCTCTCCTCGTGTAGTACAGCCCAGTCAGTAAGCAGCTGGAACCAGTTCAGTCCCTGCAATGGCTTGTGTTGTAAAATGGACGTTGTAAAGAAGAAATAATGAAAACAAGGACACACAAAGAATCGGTATGCATAAGGCCTATGTCTGCTTTCCATGATGATGTCAGCGATTGTGTACCTGCCTAACTCTTGATTACTGCTTCCACATTATAATTAGTTCAATATGTGATCAAATTTCAAAATGGCCAGTGTAACTGAGATATAAATTATTTATTTGGTTGCGAAAGGCCGTCTAAAAAACAGATTCCACATGTAAATTTGATTTTTTTCTTTTACCTCCCTCCCTTCTTCCCTGTATCCTCCTGTTCCTCCTCTCTATTTCCTCCTCTTTTATTCACTACATCTTGTCGTCCTTGTTAAATTCCACCTTGGATTGAACGAGGTTGACTTCCCTTCAGCCTGATTTAACTCTGTGTTTGCTACAATCACTTCTTTATTTCTCCGTGCATACTGCGATGTTCCTGTATAATTGTCCAGTTTTAACACTTTCCCCACATGCCACATTTCCTTCTTTCGCTGCACTTTGCTTCGCAGATGCCCATGCGCAGTGGGCGACGGCGGGGGGCAAGTGAGGAAAGAAGGGGCAGACGCCCGCACCCCAGCCCCTCTCGCCCTGAACGCAACGACAGACAGACGGTTAGACCCCGCCTATCTTATTATCTCCTTTCTCCTGTCACTGTTTGGGCCATATATTAACGTGTACGTGTACATAATGAACAATAAAGGCCTTCCTGTGTTTCTTGAATTTTTGTGTGTGAATGTGTTGTCAGTGAATGAGTCATCCCTGTGATTGCCATAGATGTACCCCTAGCAGTGTCAGAATTGTTAGAGTCTGTGTTTTACACCGTAGCACTTTGAAATCTTTGATGTTTCATGTTTGACACTCTTGTGTGTGTGTGTGTGTGTGTGTGTGTGCGTGTGTATGTGTGTGTGTGTGTGAGAGAGAGCGTGAGTGCATGCAAGCGAAGCTTTGTTCTAAAAACAGACCTAGGCCTATTAGGGATTCAAAAGCGTCACTACAGAATTAAAAGTCTTGTGTTGTTTTAGCAAAGAGGTGCTGGTGAGGAATTGGCTGGAAATCGCTTCAGTCGCAGATCACAAGGGCATGATTCATCAGAGAGTGAGGGGGAGGAACTTGTGTCTCCTCCAAAGAGGCAGAAAGTTCAGGTTTGTGTTACATTTCATCAACTTGTTATATAAAGACCTAATACAAAGCTTTGATTTAAATGAATCACCTAAAAGGGGACGCCTCAAATAGATATATATTATTATTTTCTGCCATCATGTAGATAGCAGATATTACAGTTTAACTTTTTACCTCACCCTCAAATCATCTTTTCTTGTTAGGATTCAGCCCCTACTCCAATTCCTCCAACATCAACACACTCGACTGACAGCTCAGCTCCTTCCACTGTCCCACCTCCAACCTCAGTTGCCAGCCAATCCCGTGAGAGTGACAATGAAGATGGCCAATCTCAGGGCAGCAGGAGTTCAGTTGTAGGGAGCCTGGCCAATAGCAGTAGCAGTCTGAGCAGCGGGAGAGATATAGACCAGGACAATCGTTCCTCATCCCCAAGTCTTTCCGCTTCCCCTTTGGGCAGCCTGGACTCTGACTCTGATGGCCCCGATTCACCAAAGCAAGGAGACCGGGAGAAAGGTAAAGAGGGGGGCGCAGGGAAGGTGACAGGAGAGGATAGGAGAGTGCTGCGGGAGGGGAGGGGTGAGGAGCCCTGTGGAGATGGAGAAAAGCGAGATGTGGATGCAAGAATTGAGGACTGTCCATCTCTTAAGCCCCCCTCCACTCCCTGCTCTTCCTCTGGACTGACTCCCTCTCTCCGTGGAGCAGGAGATTCATCAAATGACAGCAATAGTGGGAGAAAGTCATATTTCTCCCTGGACTCTAAGCTGATGTGTAAAGTTGAGTACAGTGGACCGACCAGCGTTGATGCTGCGCTAAGCAGCAGAATGACTTGCAAAGCCAGCACACAGTGCGTGACCAAGACAACTATCTCCGGAGGAGATTATTCCCATAACAGCCCCAACATTCCCCATTCCCTGCCCCCTCCACTTCCTCCTCCACCTGCCCTGAAGCCTTTGGAGCTTGGGGCACAAAACATGCCTACTGAGGTTAAGGCAGAAAGAGACAAAATGGAAAAAGGAGACAAACTTCTGGACAAGTCTCAGTCCACTCCACCTTCTCTGTTGCCACAGACTGGTCCCCAGCCTCAGTCCCAGTCTCAGCCTCAGACCCAACCCTCCTCCCACCCTCACCACTACAGCTCCACCGGCTGGCAGGGTGGCACGGCAACTGGTTGCCAGGCTAGCTGGGGCTACACCCGTTACCCTGGCAACCACCACCCACACCAACCACAGCACCAGCCCCCAGTTCAGCAGCAGCAACTTCCCTCCGTTTACAACCCTCCATCCTCTCGCCACTCCTCTTCCCACCCCTCTTACCTCCCCCACCCTCACCCCCACCCTCACAGGGAGTACCTTCCCAGGTATGCTGGAGGGGGAGGAGACAGAGAGAGGGGGGGTGCAGGAGAGAGGGAGAGGGGAGTGAGGGGGGAGTGTGGGGGGAGGGAGATCAACCGGGAGTTCTCCGCTCCGATTGGCAACAGTAGTAACAATAGCAGCGGGGCAAATAGTAACAGTCCTTGTGGTGGGATGGGTGGGCCCAATAGCATCCAAGGCAGAGACTTTGGAGCGCTGTCAGTCAGTCAGAACAGGGAATTCCAAGGTTCTGGGAGAGATGGACCTAACTTGGGGCCAGAAAGAAGAGACTTTGCTCCGGCTTTCAGAGACAGGGAGCGTGAAAGGGAGCGTGAAGGAGGAAGGGAGTTTAATCTGCCAAACCAAAACCAGAGTAGAGACTTTGGCCCCAGTGGAGCCAGTGGGGGGCATCCCAGAGACAAAGATGGGAGCAGATGGGGTGAGTTTGGGGGCCAGACGAGAGACGTTGTGGGGAGCAGTAACCCTAACAACAACTCCATCCCACAGGGAAACCCCCCAAGTTCAACCAGCGGGCTACCTGTCACCCCCATGCTGAACCGTGACCCACCTGCATCTCCCCAAAACAATCCCAGTCACACTACTCATCCTTCCCTGCCGCCACACCCCCACCCACATCCCCCAAACTCATCGAACCGGGACTTACCTCCTCCCATCGACCAGGCACAAACGCCCTCCTCTGGGGCGGATCACTTTCACAGGGAGTATCCACCCACCGGAGGAAAAGACTTCCCTGCTGGTGCACCTCCTTCCACTGGTACAAATCGGGAGTACCTAAACTCCCCTGGAGTAACTCCTAACCTGGGACGAGAGTATTCAGGGCCCGGGGGAACGCAGCACCCCCACCCACCTCATCCCCACTACCAATCTGGGCCTAGAGACAGAGAGAGAGACTCAAATCTGCGAGACACTTCTCTATACCAAAACCGTGGAGGCCCAAGTCAACCCCCTGCACTCTCTCCTTCCTCCTCTTCTAGCCATCACGGACACCCTTTGAATGCTCCTTATCCCCCTCCACCCCCTCAGCCCCCTCTACCCCCACCTCAAGCCTCCCACACCCAACCACCCCCCTCAGGAATGGCACCCAATGTACGTCCTCCACACTACCAGTCTTCTGCCCAGACTCCTCCGACACCCCTTTCTCCTTTACCCAGCCCATCTACCAATCAGATGGGAGCTTTCTCATCTTTTCCCCCTGGCTCCTCCTCTGCAGCCAGCATGCCGCTTCCAGCGACAGGTGTGTCATCTAGCTGTTCGCCTGGATGCCGCCCTTCCTCTTATCATAGCACTTTGAACAACCACCCTCCTTTCAGTGGATCTTACCACTCTAACGGAAACAACAGCAGTACTATGGCCAGCAGCAGCAGCAACAGTAGCGCACCCAACAGCAGCAATACCAATCCACAGTCACTCTCGCCTCAGAATGTCTCAAAGGGACCTCCACCCCTTAGTAACTCCGCCAGCAGCAACAACAATGGCATCTCCACACCTGCCTCCAGTTCTTCGCTCCCTGGTGGAGACGGACATTCGGATTCAGGCCCGCCTCCTACACCGGTCATTAAGGAAGAACCAATAGAAGACAGGGAAGAAAGTGAAAGCCCACAACCTGTGATGAGAAGCCCCTCGCCTGAACCAAAACCTGTAGACATTCCTATCCACGCCAGCCAGTCAGCACGGTAAAGTCAGCCTAATTGAGATTGTAAATGTGTACACTCCCTGTAATTAACAGCAGCGATAATTGTTACGATGGTGCTGCTGACTCCTGATGATTGTAATAATGATGTACTACATCGGTGTCTCTCGTGACTCTAGGTTTCACAAGGTCCTCGACCGCGGCAGTGGGAACTCCTGCGCCCGCAGCGATGTCCTCTTTGTCCCCCTGGATGGCTCCAAACTGTGGAAGAAGAGGAATGAGATGATTGAAAGGGCCCGCAGGGAGGTGGAGCAGAGAGCCCGAGACCTGCGAGAGAAAGAAAGGGAACGAGAGAGGGAGCGCGAGCGTGAGAGGGAGCTCGATCGGCATCTACAGGTGTGCACATTTCAGGGTGATAATCATGTCAGATGTAATGGATTTGATGTCGTTTAAATTGGTCAGTTTAATGGGAGGGGAGTAAAGCAGACCAAAGCACATGTGATTTACTGTCTTCTCCTATTTCCTCTTCAGCAGCAAAAGGATGCCAGCGCTGCTGGAGGAGGTCGCCAGGGCTCCTCACTCTTCTTTCCTTCCTCAACCTCGATCATCCTCGACCCTTCGTCTTCTTCCGCTTGTTCCTCGGGCAACCCCCATCCTCCTCCTCATCCACAACATCATCACTCACATCCTCATGCTCACCTTCCTCCGACACACCATCTCCACCCTACTCTCTCCCACTCTATCCCCCACTCCCTTCTCTTACCATCCATGGGTGGGTCACCAGCAGTGGTTGGCGGCCCTCAGGGGGCCCTGGGAATAGGTTTAGGAGGACCATATTTAGGCCCTGACACCCCAGCGCTGAGAACTCTGAGTGAATATGCTCGCCCCCACGCTATGTCTCCACTTGGGGTGGCAAGTCGTGCCCCGGCACACCACCCACAAGTTCATCATGGTCATCCCCACGTCCACCCCTCATTCTTTCTTCCTCAGTTTCAGAATCATGCTTTAGCTCACCCACACCACTTGCCCACTGATGCAGCTACTGCAGCAGCCATCTTGGGATTTTTGTATGGTGGCAGCCTGGAAGGTGGTCCAGGTGTTGGTGGTCACCCGGGAATGGCAGGGGGCCCAGTACCTGGAGGGATTGGGGGTGCAGGATTGGGAGGTGTCGGCTTTCCTCATGCAATGGCTGCACACCGAGATCGGATAAAGCCAGGATTTGAGTTTAAGAGTGATGAGCGGGTTTACCCACCAGGGTCTATACCTGATCCTGCAGTTCTTGCTCATTCACATTCACATGCTCACGCCAGTGCCCATGCGCATGCACACTCTCTGCTCCTTGGAGGCAGTGCAGCGGGCAGTAATGAGGTATCAATCTATGGCACTCCGCCTCCACCAGCTCCACTTGGCCCACCTCACCTCCAGAACCCAACTCTGGCCCCTGTAACTCGACCTCCCAACCCTCCTGCTCCACAGTCCCTGTCGAATCCACCCCCTTCATCTCTGCTCCCACCCACACTCCCCTCTCACCCTTCATCTGCTCCCCCGGCTCCCCCAGCTGCCTCTGCCGCTCCTCCCCCGGCTCCTCCTCAACCTGCCCCACCGACCTCCAACGCTACCTCACTTCACCACCCTGTCCCCCATTCTTCCTTTCTCGGCTCCCTGTCCTCTCATCAGCCACCAGCCCCTGCCCCGGCCGCTGCCCCTGAGACCTACCCCACTCCCACTCGCTCTCCTGCCTCTTACGAGCGAGAACGGAGTGGAGAAAGAGAGCGGGAGAGGGAGAGGGACAGAGCAGCTCTGCCGGCCTTTGGGGACAGAGAGCGAGAAAGAGAGAGGGAGAGAGAAAGGGGAGGAAGTGTTGGAGGCGGAGGAGGAGGAAGCGGAGGAGGGGGAGGGGGAAGTGGAGCCAGTACAGGTGGAGGAGGTGGAGGAGAGAATCTGGGGCGTCTTCAGATGCTAAATGTGACGCCTCATCATCACCAGCATTCACACATCCACTCACATCTTCACCTGCACCAGCAAGACACAGGTACCCACTGCTACTAACTATGCAATTGTCTATACCAACTCATCAATCTTCAGATTTCACAGACATGTAGCTCAGAAAATTCCTGGAGTCAAAAGTTTATCTTACAGAACTTGTTACAGGAAAGGATAAAGCTGGTGATGTTCTGTAAAGCACAGACACCAATAAAGAAGAAAGCCAGAGGTTTTCCGGTGGTAGTTTTTTGGGGTTTTTTCCCTTGCAGTAAATGTGTCTAGCCCAGAACAAATGCGCGTTTTTAAGAAAAACTAAAAATTATATTTGTGACCTATTTTAAAAGATTTCCCTCTTTATTGTACGAGTACATCTAAAATGGGCACGGCGCTGAAAAGTGTTGACCGAACACACTGATGGTTCTGCTCATTGGATAAACAAAAGCCTTATCCTTTAACTCCAGTATAATTACTTTTTGTATTAGTTTAGCTCAGCGCTGAACACAGCTTTTCTGTGATTGCATAGTTTCAGGACTTTTCTCATAAAAAGAAATCAAAATATATAACCAAGTTTGGCTATTCTCCTCTTTAAGGTCGTCTCTGTGTGAACTGCCTCTAGCACTGCTTCTATAGTTGGAAAGTTCCTAGGAAGTCTTGATTTGACCGTTTGCACTGTGTGCTCTGTGAACTCGAACCTTTGCAAGGAGCAAACATCTACTTTTGTGTCAAACCGACCCGACTTTCATGTCGAGGATCGCCCCTAGTGATTAAAAGCCGAGTTTGTGGCTAAAACGTGAAGACCTAGCAGCTGTTTTCAGTGGGAAAACCTGCTATGTCGAAGCTCAAAGGTGCGCAACCAGGAGCATGCTGATCATTTGAATTAATTACTGTGGGTGAATTCTGTTGTAACATCCTGAGGCATCTGAGGGAAAACATTTGGCTGAAACAGCCTCGATTATGCGTAACATCGTATGCAGGTACACAGCTTAATGAAAACATATTGTTTTCTTGGCAACACCACCACCAGCCCACCACCAGATCTAGCCAGATTTGGCTCCTTGTGAACTTGCCCAATTCTATAAAAAGAGATCCAGAGCTTATCACAGACACATGGGGTAGTGCTTTTGAATATAGATGACCTTAAAGGGGGGATTTAAATCAATATTAATGAGTCTTTATGGGCGGTGCCAGAATGTCATACGACAGATTATATTATTACTAAAGTACGAACTCTAAAGAAAATCAAACTTTATTTGTACTTGTCAATGTTTGTAAGGCTCTTAAGTTCACGTTTTTACCCCTTTATTGAATAAATGAGCCTAATGTCACAGTATCAGTAGTGACAGCTGCTCTGACTTAATCTAAAGCTTTTAAGTGTTAACAAACAGCGCTATAATGCAGCAACAATAATCTCCTGTATTTCCTATTACATCACTGGCATCCAGCGGCGGGCGGGGTTCACCCCCTGATGGACCCGTTGGCATCGGGGTCTCCATTGGCACGCCTCCCTTACCCAGGAGCCACACTAGGCACCCCTATCCTGGCACACCCCCTCACTGACAGCGAGGTGCTCCGCCAACAGCTGTTCGGTGAGGAGAAGGCTCCTCGTCCATGTACTAGTTCAGTTTTCTTCTCTAAAAACACCGTGTTGAAAGCTAAAGAAGAAACATTTTGACACTGGCGGCGATGAATGATCCCTGTTTTTCTTTCTCCCTTTCCCACTTGCTGCTGCGGCTGCTCTTTCCTCTCTGTTTTGGTGACAGGTGCTCCTTTCCGTGACTTGCCCCAGCCTTCCTCCCTCACCGGCCCTATGTCTGCAGCCCATCAGCTCCAGGCCATGCAGCAGGCCCAGAGCGCAGAGCTGCAGATCCAGAGACTGGCCCTGGAACAGCAGTGGATCCATCATCATCACCACCACTCCCTCACCCAGGATGAGTATTACAGGTACAGAGGCTGTGCATCCACTGCAGCTGCCAGTGTTTGACTCTAACTATTCAATTTTTTCAGATGATTTGTAACACAATAACCACTTAACAGTATAAACTTTAGGCTCTATCCTAATTACGACAAATATTAATACAAACCATCCTTAAATGCACTTCACAGGAAAATGTTGAGGTCACAGTGATTCAGCTGCAGAATCAGGTACGACAGCAATGCTACAGGCCTGGCTGCCCTTCTCTGTTTTCATTTCCTCATGAAGGTCAGGCTGCTTGGTTTGGGGTCAGCATACACTCTATTTTACCAACATTGTGGGTTTTGAGTTCTTGGCTGCTAGCTTTTTGTAGCCTGGTCTCTTTGATAGATGCTGGTGAAGTGATGTTGTGTTAGCTGGAGTTTATAGTTGTTCCTGGCCCGGGTGCATTTTGCACTTTACCGTCATGTTCATGTTCTTTAAGTAAAATTAAAATAGCTCATTATCTCCAGTCCTCATAGACCACATACTGTTTTCTCCTTCCACACGAACTGTGTAGCACAACTGAGCAGGAAAAGCAAATGTTGATTAATTTTTTTTAAATCGGAAAAAATGATGCAGAAAATTGAAAAACAGATGGAACATAATTGTTCGATGAGTATCGGGTTGATTAGGGAAAGTGTGATTACTGACTTTAATACAATAATGTGCTACTTTTCTTCACTGCGGGTAAATATAATTTAATTACAGTGCTGTGTGACACCCAGCACTGCCTTGGGTGGTGGTATCCTTTTTTGGCTTGACCAACAGTCAGACCCTGAACACAGCTGGGTGGCTGTCATATAAGACAAATGGAAACCGAGTCTTTGAACATATAGGAAGCCAGAAGCTTTTTATTCATCCAAATATGCGCTGATAAATATGTTCTGATATAATGACCACTACTGTTACTGAGGCACTGTTTTACAGACTAATCCATCTGAACGCATTGCTGAGCCTTTAGGCTTTATCTTCTGTATATTTAAAATTAACAGAAAAAAATACTACAGAGTACTATCTTTTAAGAAATGATTAAAATTCCTTTACATTTCTTTTTTGGATTTAGAAAGGACCTTTGGGTGGTAACAAATGCTGCAAAGTCTGTGTTACCTTATTTTAATTTTACAGGTTTTCTTGGTATTTCTGATTTACTGAACACAAACCGGGTTAAAAACTGTTACAATGCTGATAATTTTCCGTGGAGCCACCAGCCCTTATTAGTCTGTTCAAGCTTTGAAGACTCCTATGGGTGGAAAACAATTAGAATTAACTCCATATGTCAGTTTGCAATAAAAATAAAGCTGTTTCTTTTATCCTTCATTTTTTAAGAGACTGTCTTGCATTTTATCACCTTAAACAAATAAATTCTGAATGCAGGAAGCAATCTTCCTGAATATACTAGCATTTCTCTCTTTATATTTATATTTAGTTTTTTATCTGTTGTTCCCTGGTCGCATTCATTAATACACAGTCCTGGTAAAAAGAAACTGCATCCTCAATTTAAAGGATACATCAGGACGTAATAAAATTCACCAGAAGCTTTCTTATGGCTTCCATAGCAAAAGCGGTTAAGTAGCAGCTTGGAACTGCTAATCAAATTCACTTGATTAATTGACGATCAATGAGTGTGGCTGTCAATAAAAGCAGAAGTTTTAGCAGATTGCTGGTTTGAAGCATTCAGGTTTGTGTTAACACAAAGCCAAGAAGGAAAGAATGAGCAGTGATCTTAGTCTGTTAGTCTGGGAAGGGTTATAAGGCCAATTTGAAGTGCAACAAATTCACCCCAGAGTCAGAGAAACGAAAAAAAAACCCAAGCGCTACATCTCAGACTCTATAGGCCAAAGTGAGCAAGTTAAAGTTCACGACAGCACAATTAGAAAAAGAACAAGTATGGCTTGTTTGGAAGAGTTGGCTGCAAAGCTGCACCTGGATAAACCGCAAGATTTCTGGAACAATATATGGCCTAATATGCCATGTTGTTTTCCTACTCAAATTTAGTAATGTCTTGATATGTAAAGTCTTAGAAGTTAAAGAGGGTGTACTTTCTTTTGATCATCACTGTAGTTGGTTGTGTGTTGGGGCATAGGAAGACCAAAATCAGTAAAAATGTCCCTAAATCTGACGTTTGGCCTCACACGTTGTTTGGATGTGTTCAGTAGCAGAAATCTGCATGCTACATTTTGATCTGCCTCTAAACAAGACTTGATCAGGCTGACTCTACAAACATCACTGATGTTATTTTTGTAGATGAAGACCGAAGGGAAGTTTTAATCACGGGGACGAGTCTTTGAAGCGTTTTCCGACACACTTGTGCCGAGATGAAATCAAACCTCCGTCCAATACCTTAGGTTAATGCACTCATTCGATTCCTCCTCTCACTTTTTAGTCACCTGAAGAAAGAGAGCGACAAGACCCTGTGAGGGAGGGGCACCAACAAACAGCAGCATGGAGAAAAACCAAGGGAGAGTGTGCGCAAGAAGAGAACACATACAGCGAAACAAAAAAAAGCACTGAAGACTCCGAACAGAGGTCGGACTCGTGGACAGGGAAATCGCAGAAGGAAACGAGAAGATTTTGAAGGATTAACAAAAGAGGGAGGAGGGCGTGAAAACCTTGCACAGAGTCCCCGCGAACGGCACCAGACTCCAGCGCTTTCCTGCATAATGTTGTTTTGTATTGTGCTCTGTACAGTATATTAGATGGGGGCAGCAATAGTGAAGTACAGTATATGTAAAATACTTGATGCCAGAAGGAATGTGTACATGAGTCCCTTTTATGTCATTGCATGTAGCTATAGGCGCTTATTCTGAACTGGTGGAACTTTTGGTTCTATTTTTAGTAATTACCCCCTCCTTTGTATCTGAGGGGCGTTCAATATGCATGAGACCAGCATTTTAGTGTTCTGTTATGTTTACGATCAATAGCATTGTTATAATGATTAATGTTGTCCGTTTGTTGATAATGATATAATTATATATACAGCACATATTATTTGTATTATTTTTTTACATTTTCATGGTATGGCAGTCAGTTTTTATTTTTTACGTTCAATTTAACTTGTGAAACAAGATGCAAAGGAAGGCAAAAAAATCTGGAAATAAATTATAATCTTTTTTTTTTGCTAGTTTCTCGAGTGCTCGTGTGTGTGTGCACTGTGCCCCCCCTCAAACCCCACCTCTGCTCCAGCTCTTACATTCAGAGTATTTCCCCTGTCTTTGTTTTATACAAGTCACTCATGCACAAAGCATATCAAATTCTTGATATGCCCCCCCCCCTCTCTCTTTCTTGCTCCCCTTCTTTCTCTTCATCGCTCACTCCCTCCCTCTCTTGGTGAGTGTGGCTAATAGGAGACACATGGGATGAGTGTGAGACATGGGAGTTGAGTCGCTCCAGTGAACACCAGCCACCCTGTAGAGTGAGCATTCCTTACTGCACTGTAAAAATGAAGAGTAGGGAGAAAAAAAAAGATATAAAGACAGAAATGAAAAGAAAGGAGGAGCTGTGAGAGTGTGATTTACGGACACTGCTGAAGGCTGGGGGCTGTGTGTGTTCTCACCGCGTCCTGCCAGAGGAATCTCCTTCAAAACGGATACGGATCAGTGAATACGTCCTTTTTACGTCAGGCAGACTCTCTGCTGGCGCACGGAGCTGCTCAAACAAACTTCACGTTATCGCAGCCTTTAATATTTTTACTGATGTGCTCTGTCTAACGTGGATCCTCAGAGGCCTCAAATCTGCCTCCCTTTTGTGCAATAAAAGCTCCTCGTACTGTTGTGGCACTGACTGATGGCCTTATGATGAAATATATATATTGTACAGGCCATTCTGTTGAGTTGGTATGTAGGTTGTGGGCCATTTAAAGTCACCTTGAATAAGTGTGTCAGTGTAATGTAAAGTGATTTCTAGCAGGACAAACCTGATTTCCCCCCCGGTGACATCGCATCTGGGGGTTATTATTAGCACTTCATCAGTCCTTTCCCAAGATGGATGAGGACGTAGGGAAAGGTATAGATGAAAGACATATGAGGTTGTTTGAGGGATTCTATGTGGCTGGCATTTGCCTCTTTTTATAAGTGGACAGAAAACAAAGAAATATTATTTTACTGCTTGTTACTGCAAATATCTAATCAGCTGATCATGTGGCAGCAGCTCAGAGGATTTGGGCTTCTAAACATGGTCAAGACAACCTGCTGAAGTTCAAACTGAGCATCAGAATGAGGAAGAAAGGTGATTTCAATGACTTTGTGCGTGGTGTGGCTGCTGGTGCATGAGAATTTCAGAAAATGCAAATCTATTGAGATTTTCTAACACAATGAGAAAATTGTAGCCGCTCTTTGGCATCAACAGGGCATTTTCACCCAGAGGTCAGAGGAGGGCAGCCAGACCGCTGGCAAGAAGTCAGGTGAGTAAAGTTTTCTTAGTGTATTTAGATACCTGCTAATAAGTAATTAGTAGGTATCTGCATCTGGTACAGTTTGATAAACAACTGACAGCTTAGCACTCAAACGTTTTGTCCACATACTGGCCCCCAAGAAGCAACATGGCGTCAGCTAAATGGCTAAGGTTGATGTTTCAAACCAATGGGTAATGTCCTTAGACAGTATAAAACATAGATGTAGTCACCGTGACTACATCTATGTAGTGACTTTGAATCCAGAAGTGACAGATGAAAGGGAGACGTGCTAAGTTATTCACCTAACCCTATTTAGCTTGGTTAGCAAGCTATATTCATAAAGTGAATGGGTGCTAGGAAACAGTTAGCTAAAATGCTAGAATTTCACTCACCAAAACTGACCCGCAAACCTCTCAGGTGATCTGCATCACACAACAAGACATAATGTCAGTAAGATAATCCAGTAAAGATTCAACAGTTCACACATTATGAAAAAGTCCAGTGTATTGACTCAAACTCATGCGTGAGGTCTAACAGGCTCAGATGGGAACACCTGTCAATCAAAACGGTCACGCCCCTGGATCCAGGTGAATGAGTTATGAAAAAATTTCCCCACTCATAGATTTTTTTTTAAGAAAAGGGAAAATGGAAGTTTATTCTCACCACTAAAAATAAAACATTCTTGGAGCTTCCTGACTGAAAAATCTAAACTAAAATGTAAAGTTATCTCAAAACTTGGCTTAATAACTCAAGATTTCTAGTTATTTTTTTACATTTTTAGTTCTTTTCTCAGATGTTTGAGTTAGTAAGTAGAAATTTAGAGATACCCAACTAGAAAATTTGACTTATAGATGGCAATTTATGTATTGATTAATTTTTGCCTTTAAGTGGTGGAAGCTTCCATAGAGAAACTACCCATGAACACAAAACCTTTTTTGTACCAGGCTGTAAAGATGCTTTTTAATACTATAAAGTTGGACATTTTAACAAAGGAGTCTGTAGGGATTGATTCCCATCTGTAGCCAGCCAAAAGTTGCCCCAAAAATAATTTTGGTTTTTGCTACTTTCATCTCAGAAGTAGGAAAGAATTCCCAGGAGTTTGCCTCAGGTGACTGTCATGTTTTCCAGCCTCAGCAGATGGACTCAGAAACCAGTACCTTTCCTGCTTAAATAAATCCAGTTAACCCGGAGAACTTTCAGGTCACCATTTGTTAAACCGTCTTTATTAGATTAGTGTTTCAACCATTCATAACCTTGCAGTTACACTCTACTCAATGTAACTGCCATTCATTTCATTATGTTTAATGACCAGTTTCACCGATTTATCCATTTCGTTTGGCTATCAGTTTAATAATTTTTAGCTCTCTATATCATCTCACATCTTGCTGTAATTGCATAAGTACAGCAATACATGACATGATACTAATTTGCTTTAATTTTGTTTACAGTAAATTACTGTATAAGGTCACAGATCAACACACTTAACACACAAAAATAACAGGGCCAGATTTAACACTCAAAGAAGTTTATGCATGTTCTACGTGCTATAATCATTTATGAGCCCTTGGAAGCTCTTTCCATATATTTAAGTGGATGGGCACAATGTCAGGGTTGCTGCATACTATTTCAGATTTATTCAAAATAAAGTTCATAATAGTAGAAACACATGTTTTAAAATATAAGCTCTTCATCAGTATTCAAGAATCTGAGAAGCGAGACCTGGAACAGACGAAGAGCCAAATATGATGCACTAACGTTCAAATGGTGCCACAGACTATGTGAAGTTTCAGTGTCATATGTTTGGATTTGAACTCGCAGTGACTAATTTGGTTTAGTTCCTGTTCCAAATTTTCCTCCAGCAAAAATATCTTCTTCTCCACATGTTCCGTTTTCATTCAGCTGTTTTGCCTAAGAGAGAGTTTTATAACACGCTTTGCTTCTTCCTCTAAAATATCTGCACCACAGTCATCTTTCTTGTCCCTTTGGAGCTGTCGTGTTTTTCCCCGCTGCTGATCACATGATCACACCTGCTAACTCTCCCTTTCATTGTCCACTTTTACTGTTTCAGTCTCGTACTGTGGCTCCTCTGTTAGTCGTACCTTTCATAGCCCTGAAGCGTCAACACTCTCATAGTGATTCTGAAATCTACTGGGAGAGACACTCACCCTGGTCAGTGAAACTTCTACTTGAACAAATCCCCCAACATCTCATTCATCTATTGGAGTGTCGTCCCAGCCTGCGGCAATGACAGGCAAACTGCAAAGTGGCACAATTGCTGGCGGAGAACTGAGTCTGTGGCTTTTTCACCTTCTCTCACCCAGACAATCAATCTCCCCTGACCTCTTGCTCACTGCAGCCCAGAGAAGATGATCCCAGTGGATGATCTTGAGGCGTTGCTGAGCATCTTTAAGCAGTTGTAGACAACAGGCGGGTGATCAGAGTGAGAATTGGACCAGAGAGGCCTCTGCCTCCTTCCACTGCACATCGGTTTGACAACATCTTCACCATTTCAGCATCGAAACAGAAATATGATTTTCTTTAGTAAAAGTTAAACTAGCATTTTATGAAGAGGGTTGATAAAACGTTTTGCTTTAGTGATCCTAGCCACATATTTTGCCTCTTGGAGTTGTACTCGGGTGAGACTCTTCTGTGTTTTCAGTTTGCATAGTTTTCCGATGTTGTGCAAGATTTCTCTGAGAGCTTAGGTTTCTCCTGCGGTCAAAATATCCATGAAAAGTTAATGTTAATAGTTGGATATGGGACACACTTCCAAATGAGATTTGCAATCCAGTTCGATTAAAAACTTCTACATCAGACACAGGGAACTACAGCTGGACAAGCAATGATGTTATCAGAATCTGATCCAGTGAAGATTTTCATTAGATTTCCCTGAACCCTGGTAAGGGCAACAGTCCTGGGTGTACGTCACCTCTCTCCCTTTGATAGCTGGGGCACCAGTGCAGGTGCTTCTTTAGAATGTGAAACAGATAACAGACAAGTATGGCACAAATAATGCACTGCAAATGCTTCCACAGTATAACAACCATCCTCCGTGCCACCTCACTCTCTGACGTCGACATGTGCACTGACACAAATGATGGCAAACCTACGAGCTAGCTTAGGCAAGCAGTCCAAGCTGAAAAACACCCTCTCGGTTTGTCATTCTATTTAAGCTGCAGAATTTCCCTGCATCACTGCCTGCTGTTTCAACCATTCCACCACCCCGACATCCACCTGTGTCCTTCAAAGGGATGTTTAGCTCATCGCTCCAACATTTCTATGTGTATCATATTTGCAGGGAGTGATGAGCCAGACCCCAAAACACAGACTGTAATTGGCTGGTGTTATAAGTCATTTCAAATGTGAGATGTCTGGCTGAAATGTAGGATTGGGTGCGGCTGCACGCAAAGGATGTGAAGAGAAACAGCAAAAGAAAAAAAAAAGGAAGGGGCACCGATTTCTCATTTGAAAAAGCAGCATGATTACTTGAAACTCAGATTGTATTTCATTGAATATTTACACATGCTGCATTATGTTATCTCCAAGCCAGCAATGCAGACATGTGTGAAACTTGCAAGAATGTGTACATATGGTCTGCAATGATTCTTTGAAGACAGATCATCCAAAGCAGGGGGATTGAACATTTATTACACCTTTTATTTTACTACTAGCCATAGCTGAACACAAACCATAGCAACCAGCTCAAGAAGGCAGGGGTGACTACATATGTCTGG